TCATCTTTCAGGCAAGACAAGGCTACTTACTTTCAGGTTATGAAGAAAGAAAACATAAATAAGCAACAGAGGATGGTGCTGCAACACAAGCTCATTAGACAAACATACCTTGCTTATCTCTGTCTTAGGCTAGCGTCTTCCCTCCAACCAGGACATATCTCACACTGTGAGACAATTACCCCCGGACCAGACAAATATGGAGCTGGCTCTAATCTTTCTGAATCACCTGGAAAGCAAGATGAAAATAGAGAATGTGGAAATGAAGGTAAGAGGAGAAAATAGGCCAGACAATACAAGCTGAGGAGAGTTGAGGGTTTGGACGCTGCCTATGCTATGCTAATGGGGAGAATTTGCATTAGAGATCAAAAGATGGTTTATAGTGTGAAAGGGGAGATGTTTCATGATTAAGATCATGATCAACAATGGAATCATTAAGTAAGGAAATTTAAAGCATGTACACTAAGAAGGTTGTTGTTTTAAAAGGTCTTATACTATACACAAAACTTGACTCTTGGGATCTTAAACGTTATAATGTCGTTAGTCATTAAAAACAGACCTGGAGTTGGGTTTTGTTTCATATTTGAGTAACCCTTTATTATTAGTCTGGTAGTTTTCAAGTTTACCTTTTTTCAGTAGAGATTGGCAATTCTAAAGCTACAATTATCTAAATGATTCTAGCATATTGGTGTAAAATTAAAGGCACTGTATCCGATTGTTCTTCTTAAAAATTTGTCATTTAATAATTTTGCCTTATTTATTTTGAGCATCCTAATTATTCAGTGTGATCAGTTTGAGCATTTTTCAAACTCTGAGATCAAAAGCTAAAAACAAGTAACATGGAAATGTGTACTTCCTGATTATTGGACAATGCACTTAGATTTATAATGACCTCAAGAGCTTCTTATACAATATATCTGTACTGGGCCAAGACCCATTCATGGAAAGAAATCACGTTCAGGGCCTTTAACTTTTTTCCAATTAATTTTATTTTTTATTTTTTTGGTTACTGTGAGCGGGCTTGCCACTCCAAAGAGCTGACCAGTAACATAGCCCAATTTTTACTATGAAACATTCCTTGTAAAGAGACAACAATAACTCCATGTGTTGTATGAGAAAAAAACAAACAAAAAAACAACAACTTTAGTTACATCTTGATGCCTAGAGGCATTTATTAAAAGAACCCTTTTAAGAAGTTTACATCCTTTGCATCCTCCTTTTTCTCCTCAAATACACACTAGCCCCTGTCTTCTTGTTTACTCATGGCCAAGTTCAAATAAACCTCCCAAGATCAACGATAAACCCAATTAGAGATGTTGTTCTCTAAACACCATCACAGCTTGTAGAGAGATGAACCTCCATCTGTTTGAGCGCTCGCCGTGAGGGGGAGGAGCCAACCGGGAATCAGGAAGTAGATCTATAAGAGGTAGAAGAGACCCTAGAGTCGACAGGGTTAGTTCAAACATCAAGGCGTATTCCTAAATGTAACAGGAAGGAGAATGTACACGCTGGTTGGGTTGAGTTTGTTTATGGAGGATTTAACGCTGAAGGAGTTAGACGGGAGCAAGTGTATGTGACATGGGACAGGCCCTGACAAACAGAGGAAGAGGAGAAAAGTCAGCAATGGAATTATTAAGTGTGGGAATTGAAGGTATGTAAGCTAAGAAGGCTGCTATTTTAGTAAGTGAGTTAGCAATGTAAACAAGAAAGATCAATATATTCTGTAGTTAAACAGCATGTTAAAGGTAATATTTGACACAGAACAGACTCTTGTGAGCTTTAGGCCATGTTATAATGTTGTTACCTCATCAAAAACACAGAGTTGTGTTTTTCAGTTTCATTCCTCTAGGTCAGGAATCGGAACACACTAGATGGTTTGCAAGAACCCTGAAGTGCGAGTTCGAGCACCAGCCAATCAGTGAAGAGCCATACATTCTGTGTTGGCAACAATTCCTGAGATTGAGGATTTAAAGCCAAAACAAAGAAAATGTTCGGTGAAATTTATTAAGGGGAAAGACGTTATTGCCCTTCTTCCTACGGGATTTGGAAAAAAGCTTAATATAAAAAAATAGTCCAAATAGCAGCGATTGGTTAAATAAAAAAGTACCCGCCTACTGTTGAGTGAACGAATTGTAATGCTGCGAGGTCAGACAGTTTCTACGAAGTGAAACCGGCTGATGAATCAGGCTACATGTTCATCTTTAAAGCTTAATAAGCTTGAGATGTCATGGTGGTTTTTAAGTTAACAGCTGCCTTTCACCTTTTTTCAGTAGAGTTGGGCTAAAATTATCCAAATGATTCTAGTGACACTGTATGGAGTTTAAAAACATTGTGGAGCACTTCCTGTATTACCACATGACATCACAAGGTGGAATAGAGTGTTTTCAGATTGAAGAACTTCTAAACATGCATGGTTTGTGTGCTGAAGCTGTGTAAATGAAACAAAACACAATTCCAGGTATATTTGTGATGAGGAAACGACATTATAACATAGATCAGAAAAAAGTGTAATATGGGCCCCTTAAAATATTCAGTGATCTCTTTGAATGGTTCCTTAACGTAAACAGTTGGAGCAGAACTCATTTTTAAAAAAAGAACCAAATCTTTTTATCTCTAATTTGCATGCGTTTTTATCCTGATTAATGCAGAACCAACACAAGCATGAGCACAGAAGCCGCGCAGGCAACACAAGCGAGAGCTTTTTTGCACAGAAAAACATATCTGGCATCATAATAACAGATAGTTTTAAAATTATTTTACTGCAGCATTTTATTTAGAATATGCATAATTTCAAAGGGTAAACAGACTCCCACTTGCAGTTTGAACCACTTTAAATACATCTTGGCCTTGGTCATTCCTCTGTGTGATTAGATTGCAGATTAAATGAATTCTCACATTGAATTTTCTCATATGAATTCATAGTAAAAGAGCCAGTCTTTTCAGCGGCTTTTTGAAGTGAATGGATCCAAAAGATTCAGATCCCACAGAAGAGCCTAAAGTCCCATCACTACTTATTTCACCAATAATGGCTTAAGATAAAAAGGTCAAACTCATGAAAGGCAATTTATATATTAATAAAATAAGACACAACAGACCTGGACCATGCAGACTTTAATCTACACTTACTCATATCATGGTAATATAAGCTTTACTATATGCAATCATCTCCACAAAATCACCTCTGCTATTAAATAATAAACACTTCATTAGATTTCTTTATATCTATCTTCCGGCTCTGGCTGAGAACTTTTCAAAGCTCTGAGGCAGTGAAGAGTGACTAAAAGGGCCAATTTCTGCGTCCCACTCCACTGAAGGAATTCCCCGAAGCTACTGTAGAACAAGACAGCAGCTGCTTTAAGGACTCAGGTAAGTAGAGGTGCACAGGTGGAGATTCTGTGTGTCTAATAATAAAAAGCTAAAACAAAAAAGAATGAAAATAAATTCAATCAAAAGCAAATATTTAAACATTTTGTAATTTTATAATAATGATTTGTGCTACTTACTTTTTGTATCTCTTTCTTGGTCATCTGGAGGAGATTAAGAACCATCTTCATCCCGTCCAGAAGATGTTCTTGGCAGAGTTTCTCTTCCGTACAACATAATTATTTCTCTGACTATTTCTAAACAATAGAGAATAACGACAGAGCTATATTTTCAATACAACCTCTTAGGTTACTTAGTTAGATATAACAAACATCTGTCATGTTTTATCATTATCATACTCTAAGTCAGAGGCTCATCAGGAAAAACTGAAGTAAACGTATGTACACTTAAAGGTGCACTATGTAGCTTTTCTGATGAGGGGTCCGCCACATGCTTGTCTCCGTGGGACTCTTACTGTTTTGACTGAAATGTTCCACAGCAGGACATTTAACTTTTATATCTTGGATTTATCCATGTAGCCTTTTGCATTGCTAAAAAATACATTGAAAAGCATGTGAGCAGGGTCCCCGCTCTATAGATCTGATTTGTAACTTGTGGCATCACCTTCTTGGGAGATTGATAAATTTAAAGAAGATCTATTGTGCTTATGTCTATAGAGATGATATATGACACCCGTGGATCATTATGTTATAATTTGGACATTTTAAATCACAATAATCTCTCCTCCCCCTTCTTTCTCCTCTTCTCTCTCCCTTCCTCTCCCTTCTCTGTCTCTTAAATGTTGGTCTCTCTTCACACACACAGGTTGTGTTGGCAGACACATGAGCGTTGCACACAAACACACACACACACACATCTCAAACTAAGTGATTTAAGATTGCTCAAACATACACAAATCACTCCAAATACAGTATTTTTCGGACTATAAGGCGCACTTAAAATCTTTTAATTTTCTCAACAACTGACAGTACGCCTTACGTATTAATTCTGGTTGTTCTTACTGACCTCAAATGGATTTTATGTGGTACATGGCGCTCAAAAATCTGTCAAAATTTTTAGTACGACTTTGGTAAGCTACGAAGCCACACCATTTGATGGATTGTCAGGAGCCATTCACCAAGACAGGGAGGCAACGCCGGGTGAGTTACTCCACGATCTGCCAATAGATGGTGGATGCCTGGGCTAGAGCATGAAACCCGACTGAAATCCGATGGGACTTGTCTGAACCCAACGGCCTCAGACAGAAAAATTTGGCCTGATCCACACTCTAGCCTGGCCTGAATTATTGTGAATAGTTATTGCAAATGAAGTGTTGAACAAAGTTTGACTTAACTGACTGTTTTGTTTCTCTTCATGCACCTTATAATCCTGTGCGCCTTATGTATGAAAATAGACGAGAGAATTCAACATTATTGATACTGCGACTTATAATCCAGTGCGCTTTATAGTCCGAAAAATACGGTACAACTTCTGCTGAGTAAATGATGAGGGGAAACTACTATAACATGGTTAAAAACTCTAAAAAGTCTATCTATTTTAATGCCATACTGTGGAACGTTCCATGCAAAATTTTCAACACACAATGCAACACATAAAAAGAATGACGACACAAAACCCACTTTACATTTGCTCAATCATTTTATATAACAAAGTGGTTATTGTTTAGTATCATAATCCATAACAGAGTCTATGGAAGGACAGTGTGCATAACCAGCTTGTCTTGAAGCATACAAATTAAACTTTAAACATTACAAATATAAATGTTTCTAGTGACAATGGCGGAGTCAGGCAGGGATATGGCAGCATCGCACACAGCTTCACAACATTAGCTCACTGTGTGTCTTTGCTTTCGCCACAATTGGTCGCTATTCAAAACAAATCAATAAAGTAAGCACCCTGGAAATTGGAAGGAGCGGTGGCAGCTGGGAACTGTTTACCGCAAGTAAATAGTTCCTAGTTAGTTCCTAGTTAGAGTTTTTTTTTTTTTTTTTTCCTTTTTGTTGAAGCAGAATGAGGTAAAGTGCGCAGTCACTGAGTAAAAAAATCCATTCATTTGAACCCTCACCAAAATGGCACCTCAACAGTTCTGTAATGAAAACTTGCATACCCCTGCCTCCTCCTTTACACAGTTACCATGATTCCTTGACCACTCCATGTTAGTTCAAAGGCAAAAAACACTGGGACGATGCGCTCTCTCTAGAAACCCTTAATATACTAAAAGAAACAGCCCTGATCTACAGACAGGCTGAAGGTAAAAACACATAATCTGATGACCCTAAAATGATGATAAGAGGACGAACGTCACTTACAGGAAAGATGGCCGTCATTGTAGAAGTTTATCAGAAAGTAGCTGCACTGGTTTGGAGAACTATATTTGTAAAAAAATATAGGTAATATATATTTTTCATAAATAAAATAAAATTGTGTGTATTGTATGTGATGGGTGAACAGAATTGTAAAAAAAAAAAAAAAAAAAGTGTTTTGATATGAGTATAAGACTTTGATTTGCTCATAGCGAGGTTAGAGTGAAACTACATTATATGAAACCGTGGATTCCAATAGGTTAAAAGATTCTGAACTACAAATGAGGAAAAGCACCTATTTTTGATTATTGGTGTTCTATTGTTTTTTCTTTGTTGTAAATTACATAATTACAGATTGATATTTGCAGCTCACATTTCTTGGGGGCTGTTCACATGCTCGATCTGAAGCTCTGATAGACTTTAAACTGATCTTTACTTTAATGTAATCTGACCGTAGAACAGAAGAACTGACTAAACAGGTGAGTTCTCTGTCACATGTAGAACACCCCCAGCGTGATGTCTCTGCAAAGTACCAACAGTATTACTAGAGAATTAAACATAACTTACAGGGGTTTCTGGGCAATCATTTTGAGATAAGCAAGTTTGTGTGTATGTTAAAGAGTGCAACTATTTTACAGTGCATTTACAATTGTGTGACATGAGGTTTCAAACATATTTGAACATGTCTGTCTGCCCCATTTCTAATACTACATGGAATGAGCCAACTAACTAAAAACACCCTTACTCTGATCAGTGCACAAAATGCATTAAAAAACATTGATAAACTTCTACAATGACTTGACAGTGTATATCAAAGCTTATGAATCTACAGGGGGTCATCAAAAATGATTAAAAAACTTCAAATACACTTTTTTTTCCTTTTTTTTTTTTTACAAAAGAAATACCACAACTATTACCTTTTAAAACCACGTCTACCTTAAAATGATCCTAATTGTCTAAAATATGAAACAATATCTGTACAATTTCAACACAAGGAAACCTGTTTTCTCCCTTTGATATATAAAACAAAAATAAAATTGGCACAAATGAGAAAATATGGGTTGGATAAATATTGGCCTAATACTTCAAAATAGTCAGTCAAAATATTATTAAAATCGGGAATAATTGGGAGTGAAAACAATCTTTTACAATGGACGAAAGTAGGACTCACATGCTTTTGTACAACCAGACATCCTCCCCATTCCCAGAAGTTATTATCACTACCTTAAAGGTCCTATATTACGTGAAATTGACTCTTGTGAGCTTTATAATATTGTTACCTCATCAAAAACCTGGAGTTATTCACATGTTTTTATTATTAGTGTGTGTGTAAAATTATCCAAATGACTCTTGGGAAGGTGTATGGAGTTTAAAAACACAGTGGAACACTTCCTGTATCACAGAGTGTTTTCAGTTTGAGAGAAGAACCTAACTATGCGGGATTTGTGTGTTATGTTTGTGTGTGAATGAAACAAAACACAACTCCAGGTATGTTTGTGATGAGGAAACAACGTTATAACATAGAAAATCAGAAAATAGCGAAAAATGGGCTCTTCAAAAACGTCTATGGGATCTTTTTGGACGCACCTTGAGGTTAGACGATGTGTTAAATTGCATTTTTGCAGAAGGTCGGAATAAAAATCACACTTGCAGATTATTTGAATGGACGATTTCTTCTATCCAGGTCCCGGGAATCCTATTACGTCTCTTTGTGATTACCAACGCGCAGTTAAACCACCAGCTTAAAGTAAAGTTATGGCATGATTAAATAGAAAGTATTGTAGTTAAAGGACATTGCAGTTTTGGAGATGTGGTTTCGATGTACTTATATTCAGTAAGCGTGTGACTTGAGCTTGTTTAGTGGAGCATCTGCTTACATTTAGGGCAGTGAGGGGACAAAACCACCCTTGGCATGAATATATGAATAATACAGAGTGGCCTGTCTGACACTGGGTCCTTGGCACAAAGACGTATTTTTCTGCATGGTTGTGAAACATTTAGTAAATCTTGCATAAAATTCTGGTTCGATTTGAGATGAAGAAGTCTGAATAGTAGGATTTTGTAAAGTACAAAATAAAAATGATTCTAAAAAGCATAATATGTTAACGTTATCTGCAAGCCCAGATTTTTAAAAGTTCATCATTTTTGCTGTCATTATTCATACATTTTTATTTCATATAACATCGACATCATATTGTTTGAAATTCTGTGTTTGCCTATTAGTTTAAAATCTTTTTGAAGGGCACTATGTAACATTTCTGGGGGAGTGTCTGCTAACTGCTTGTCTCCATGGATATGTCATTGCTTTGCACTGAATATTCCACAGTATGAAATCAAACATGTCCATCTCAGTGGAGAAAAGCCACCAAGTAAAGTAACCAGTCAGATCTGTGGAGAGGCAAGCCTGTGCACAGTAAAGAATGTTTTCCAAGGTAATTTTTGCATTTGAAAAACACAGGATAGACACATTTGATTCCATACTGTGGTACATTCAATTAAAATATTACGCCGCACTACAAAAGTTACATAGTGCACCTTTTAGAAAAGGTGGCATGTTGCCATATAGACAAATTGAGCTCATTTGTGTGAGCAGCAGACTCATGACTAATTATAGCATCACATGCCTGGACCCACAAGCCCTGCCTTCACTGTTCAAATCAATGGCGTCTATAGTGTTCATATTAAAACAAGAAACTCTTCATAAAATGCATCGATTCTGTCAGTAAATGTGGCACTTTGTAGTGCTTTTATAAGTGTAGTACTTTGAGTGATTTTTCCCTAATGGGCTTTTACATTTCTAAAATAAGATTTGTTTTGCGGCAAACAAATGCAGAGTAATACAGCGACAGAAGTATTTGAAAGATGATCAATTGTTTCTTTGTGCAATCAAAATGTCTTCATATTAGATGTATATCTGGGACATTTTTGATTGTTTTTATTAGGGCGACTCAATCTCTTACGTGGGATGAAAGCACTTTGAGAATTTGTATTATTTCTGCAGATATGAATACACCTTAATATGCTTTTCCATGACAGATTTTTTCATCTATTAGTACAATAGCCCGTGTAGGTTAGAGGTGATGTGATTGCAAGCAGGAATGATATGCATTTATTGAGTTTATGATAGCTTTGGTCAGAAGGGTGCAACCAAGGACTCCATTTACATATTACCAAGCTAAAAATACCATAATGGATTACAATGGGGGGTCTTAAGTCATCGGGGTCGTTCTTGTGGCTTTGGAGGATATGTAATGAACGGTAAAGTTAACTATTCGCCTGGAGACTGTTATAAAGAATAAGGGAGGAAATAGAAAGAAATAGGAGTTGTCAGCGGGTAGCCAACATGTGTGGCATTCGGTGTGTTTTGATTCCCTTTAGAACGGACATCTGCCCCCCCATCTTAAAGCAAAGCACGGTACAGTGTGTTCTTATGAGTGGCTAAGCTTACATTATGGTGCAGTCCATCTTGGCAAAAATAAATTGACAAAAAAAATGAATTCAATAAAAAAAATTCCAACACTCTAGAATGCTTTTTACATCCAGATTGCGTTGCACTTTGATTAACAATGGATTCAGTTAGAATGGCCAGACTTTTGCAAAAAAATAAAATAAAAAATTATAATAATATTAATAATAATTAAAATTCATGAAATCTTGTGAGAGCGGAGACCTGTTATTTTTTTCTTTTTAGAGTGACGAAGAAGAAGTGAATAAATATGTAAGGCTTGAAATAGTACTGTCTGTGATATAGTTTGTTCAGCTCACAGGGACCTGCTGCTTGGTAAGGGTTTAAGCAGAGTAGTGTGGCGCCCCCTGGGTCAGATATGGTGGAGATGGTGGTACAGGTGTGCACCTCTTTGCCGGCCTCTTTGGCACTTGTCGAGCGTCCGGTGGTAGGCGCGGGCGATCATCGAGCTTGGTGATTTGGGTTGTGTCGAGAGCGGGATCTTTCCAGGACTGCACGTCGGTTGTCTGCAATCAGAAAAATGGAAAAACAATAGAGTTAGTTTGGTGAAAAGGTAAAACGTGTGTGGTAAACAGAGACTGTATATATAAATGGACATAGCTAACCCGCTAGCCATGTTGATCTGGTGTTTTTATTTTGTTATTTTGTCCATAAATAAATTATTTTTTTACTAATATGGAACTCGGCTCCAAATTATTTTTACCTCCGCCAAGGAGGTTATGTTTTTGCCGGCGTTTGTCTGTTTGTTTGTTTGTTTGTCTGTTAGCAACATAACTCAAAAAGTTATGGACCGATTTTCAGGATTTGTTGGAAATGTGAAAAGGAAGAACTGATTTCATTTTGGGAGTGATCTGGAAGAAATCCTGGATTCTGGATCACTTTGAAATTTTAGTTAACATTGTGGTAAATGGGGCCAAAAATTTGGTTTCTCAATATCTAGGTTAATTATTGACCAAACCCCATGAAATTTGACTCAGGGATGGACAATGGGATCTTCTTTCATATTCCAAAGGCTGATCCGGATCTGATCCAGAAGACTGATTTTATTGCAATTTATATAAAAAATGGGGGTAGTCCTTGGCGGAGGTCTGCGCTCTCTGAGTGCTTTTCTAGTTTATAACTGCCAGCATCATGAGCTTCATTTGACTGGAGCTGAACACCATGGGTGAGCACTTACAGTGGGAGTGGTGGCAATACATACTTTGTGGAACATACTATTACTATTAGTATTTACAGTGTAGAACGAACTAATCACTAAATGTACTACCTGCATGTTTTCCACCCTATGTTCTACATCCTGCTTTAAAAAACAACAAACAACAGCAGCAAACAGACCTGGCCTGTGGTATAGGTAATATATGCTAAGGGCACACGATGATGAGCAGCCACACAAATTTAAATTAAAATTCAAAATTCAGAACTCATTTCAGGAACCCGTAATTAATGGACAAATCCCTACAAACATTTTGGCAAAAGTACACTATATTACACTATGTATGTGTTGGTAATGTATCTAGTTACTTCTTTCTTCCCTACTCTTGTGTGTCTGTGATTTCCAAAAGCACACATTGTAAAAAATGATTTCTCAGTGCAGACCAAAACAGCTAATACACAGGTAAGATATCATCAAAATCACCTAAAAATATGCATACATTTCAAATGCCAGTGTCTGGAGCCGATCCGGCTTTTACTAAAGTCCACAAATGACCTTATCAACACAAGTAACTTTGATTAAAATGACTACCTCTTTGTGAGAGTAAAACTTGAGTTATAATTGTGCCTGGACTGCACTGAGAAGAAAAGAAAGAACGCAGGAGAGTCCAGGGAGCGGAGCAGCAGGGGGGCCATAGTGCACAGGAGGCTGCTGAGGTGCTTGTGTCTGCTGTCATAGTAACTCACGGCGAGACGGTTCCAGGCCTGCACTCAAGAGCCCTCCGTCTATTCTCACATCACACAGAGCGGGCAGGGAGCAGAGCAACCAATGGACGTGAATAAACAAGCCCCGCCGCAACAATAACACGCACACTACAGGGGGCCACAGCGAGTAAAGACTGTGATTGAGATGATGAGTGTCACTACTGTTTTAATTAAGTAAAGGGTGGTCGTCTTAGCATAAAAGCCAATGGTCAGTATAACAGTAGTTTTTATGTTTTTGTTTTTTGAAACAATGCAAAATTCTTAAATATGCAAAGGCGTATCAGTGTCAGGCAAAGCTTGTAATATTGTCTTAGCATAGCCACGTTTTAATAAAAAATAAATAATCTAACTACACAACAACATTACTGCTATTATTGTTTTATCATTCATTTCTCATGAACATGAACTTTAACAGTCTCAAACAGGAGTCAGAAATGTTAAAATAGACACTAATAAAATAGAAACACTACACCATAGCTTGTGAGAAAGAACTCTAACATTAAAAGGTTTTACTGGCTGAACCTTATGAACATGGTTCACATATTCCAAGGTCAAAGGACCACTTTGGCCCTACATATTTCCTCATTGTGACAGATTTCAGACCAATGGAAAAAGCCAAAGTTTCAAAGCTGCAGCAGCCATCACTTTGAAACTGGAGTGTATTTGTGCCTGTAGCCTGCAGTGACAGCGAGCCATCTCTTGTGGAGTTTGTGCTCACAAAGTCAACTTTGTACTTTGTTGGGCCAGCTCAGTGACAGTCTGCACACACTTCCCTCTGTGCTTCAGCTGTTCTGCCCAGAGATGCCCAGAGAACCCCAGAGAACTCCAGAGAAACCCAGAGAACCCCAGACAACCCCAGAGATGCCCAGAGATGTCCAGTGAAGCCCAGAGACTCCCAGGACACAAGTTGGAGAGGAGCGGAGGGCCAGGTGGCAGGTGGGCTGGCCAGAAGATGACCACAGGCACTGCCACACCAGGCCCACGCCTTTCGGGCCCGCCCACACTGTCGCCGTGGTGCCCAACCCATTACTCAGGGCCTGCTGCAGGGTGCCAGGTGTCCCGGGCTGGGCAGTGTTTAATGGCACTCATTCATCCATCATGTCAGGTAATGAGCAGAGAGTGACACACTCCAACAGACTGCCACCACCAGAGAGGAGGAGGAGAGGGGAGGGGAGGAGAGAAAAGGAGAAAGAGAAGAAGGGAGGAGAGCTTCGAGGGAAGTAGGGGCAGAGGTAAGAGACAGAAGAGAGCTCCTTCAGATTGGACAGCAGAGTCCCATGCAGATGGTGCACAGGAGGAGAACCGGAGAAGAGGAGGTGAGGAACCTCCAGCACAAATGTTCACAAACAAAGTCCTTTGGTTTAACAGACTTCACACTGAGCTGTTGGTTTAAGCCATGCTCCGATGTAAATGCACATTTGACTTATTCATAAAAGCCTCTTCCTTTGCACAGGTGAAATACCTTTTAACAAGCGTTTCACATCATGGCTATAGAGGAGCAAAGTGAGAACAGGGAAGAAGACCTCAAAGAACCTTTGCTTATTGCTTTGAAGAATCTATGACATCTTTACTCAGACTGGTCTGTACATATACCCTCTGTAAATGTGCAATAATCCCATCCAAATACAGACCACAATTATGAACTGGGCTATGGAAAAGCTCAGCATTTTATGTTTAATCATGTTATGTTAAATGGGAGATTATTATTTTTTTTTAAATCTTTTTAACAAAACACAACTAAGGCAGGAGTTTGAAATAATATAAGTTTAATCAAGGTCAGCAGTATCTGTTTTCCAAGCCAAGTTTCACAGTTAAAACAGCATTTCCTCATTGTGAGCTGTAGTAAGTGCTGATACCTGTGCACATTTAGCCTTTAACTTTGGTATGGATGTGCCCCTCTAGAACCACACTGCTGTCATTCCATCCTGGGACAGCAGATAAAGAGAAACAAAGCAGGGCTATTAGCGTGGCACTTGTTGCAGGTAGAGCTACAGTGTCGTAGGCAGCCTTTTTGTTGCAATAAAAAACTGAAAAGCGCCTTTTGGGGGTAATTGTGTCTTGGCTAACTGCCCGGGTACATGGCAAAGCTTTCATGAAAGACTTAGTAGTAAAGATAGGAAAACATCTTGAAGGCAAAACGCATCTCTTCTCAGTGGGTCCTTGAATGCATCTCTATCTGCTCCTCATATAGAGTTTTTTTGTAATCCCGGTGCATAAAACTCATTTCTTTCCAACCTCACATCAATCTATCACAACAATTGAACAGAAAGCAGCCATTTCTACAGGGAGAGACATTACGGCAAGGCTCAAATGGGGAACACTTTAAGCTTGCATAAGAATAGACAGACACAAATTGAGGTTGAGGAAACGCGAGGTGCTATGTGTGGAACAGACTAACTCTACAGAGGGTGAGGTTTTCTATGAGCGCTGATTGCGACGCTCTCAAATGCTATTGACTTTGATGACTTCTTTACCTGATTCTCCCATCGGCGGTGTCTGTTTTTTCCAGAGTTACAGTGAGGTGAAGATACATAAGAAAAGAAGACAGCAGGAGTCAAGTTATGTGACAACTGAACAAGAGAAGACAAGATGTAGGATTAAACACAATTTAATGAAAACAGCAGCAGGTATGCAGTCTCAATAAAGGGGAGGTAAAGATGAGACAGGTCAAAGTTACAGGGGTTATACTTTTGATTTGGAGTTTAAGGAGAGGCAGAACACCAAAGAAGTACATAATAAGGTGAAGTATTTGTTCATGATAGGAGCAATAGGTACTGGGAGTAGAAGGCACTAGGCAATTTTAAATACGCTTTTCCATCTTCAAAATACTCAAAGCTCTTTACATCAAGGAACCATTCACCCATTCACGCACACATTCATGCACCAAGGTGGGTTAAGTGTCTTGCCCGAGGACACAGAGACAGCATTCATCTATGAGAGCTGGAATTAAACCAACCTGTGGATCAGTGGACAAAACTCTACCAGCTGAACTATTGTCTCCCCTAGAGTAAATGCAATCTGGTCACAGTTGATCAAAAGAACAATACAGCGAATACAATAGTGATAAATGAGTGAAGTTTTTCATACCACGTGGGCAATCACCTCTCAAGTACGGGTGTGCATTGCCGTTAATCTATAGCACGATTAACATGTCACAATAAGACATATCACAATATATCCCAATACTGACAACAAAGACAATGTATTACTTTTTGTTATTCTCAGATTTTCCGTGACTTTGGAAGCCTGCCACAAAATTAAAACTATTATTTTACTTTGTCAGTTTGGATGAGTCATGTAATAAGACACATAAGTTACTATGGGAACTTTCTGCAGCACACTCAGACGGACTCACACTGAAAGCTTTGAGACTTTAGAAACATTTGGAATTTCATACCCTGGATAAATCACCTGTCACTTCTTATAAAGACAATAATTTATAATATTAACTCTCCTGGAACAATTGACCAGTTCTGGCCCACTATCAACATTGAAATCAATTGGAAAAAAAAGATTAATATGAATGGTGTCATCAAAATATCGTGATATTAGCATTAAAGTATCAATACCAATATGGGGGATATTGGTA